GTTGTTTTTTTTTTTTTTTTTTAGGGTAGGTAGGTAGGTAGGTAGGTACTTGGATGGAGATATCAATATAGAGATAGAGATATAGGAATATACCTTATACATATATATATATATATGTATAAAATTGAATCAGGTTAGGTTAGGTTGGGTGAGGTTAAGTTAGGTTAGGTTAGGTTAGGTTAGGTTAGGTGAGGTTAGGTTAGGTTAGGTTAGGTTAGAAAGGGAAAGGAAACGGAAAAGTCTGGGGATGGGGATGGGAGATAAGAGATGAGTAAGATAAGAAAAAGATGGATAGACTGCCAGCGCGGTTTTGAATTGTGCGTTTGGTAAGTAGGTTTTTGTTTTTTTTTTTTTTTTTTTTTTTGGGAGGATGGATGGAGGGCGGGGATGGGATAGGGATGGAATGAACGAAAAGGGTTTTTTTTTCCCCCTTTCGTTTTTTCTGTTTCTTTGGGCTTTGGTTTGGGATTCGGGGACTTTGGGGTTGATTAATATATATTTAAGGAATGGCCTTAAGTAAGGAGGAGAAGTAGTTGTTATATGTATAAAGGAGTAGGGGGAAGAAGAAGGGGGGGATGTTTCGCTATATATGTATTTTGTAATGATTATAATTTTTATTTATTTTTTATGTTTATTAGTCTTTGATATATTGATATATTGATATGCAGGACGGGTGGGATGAGGTGAGGTGAGATGGGGGGTTGGACGACGAGGGAATGAGGTGAGGGATGGGGGATGAGGGATGAGGGATGGGGGGTGGGAAGAGGGATAGGGGTGAGATGAGAATGGGATAGGATGGGATGGGATGAGATGATGGGGTTTAAAGCTAGAAAAAAAATAAAAGTAGCAAAAGGAACTGATTGGAAAGAAGAACGATGGAAGAGAAAGGGGAGGGGGATAATTAGAAAAGAAAGATTAGAAAAAGAACGATGGAAGAAAAGGGGGGGAAAAAGGTTTAGAAAAAAAAAGGAGTAAAAAAAAAGATTAGAAAAGAAAATATTGGAAAAAAAAACTATTACAAAAAACTATTTAAAAGAAAACTATCAGAAAAAGAACGATGGAAAAAAATTAGAAAAAAAATTAGAGAAAAAAATCTAGAAAGAGAACGATGGAAGAAAAGGGGGGAGGGGAAAAACCATTTTCTCTATCGATCTATATACAATACTTGGCTAAAAGGAGGAGCGTAAGAGACGAAGAAAAAGAAGGAAGGAGGATATGGATATAGATATAGATATGGGTATAGATAGACGGAATAGAAGACTTGGCAAAGCAACAGAAACAGATATTATAAATATTATTCAAAAATAAAAAGAACGAAGAAGAAGCAGGATATTTTTCTAACGTGGACTAGCTAGCTAGCTACACCAAGGGCGTCCTGTGTTAATTACATCATATAATGAATTAAGTAGCTTGAGAAGCCCGGGCAAAGGCAAGGGAAAGGAAAAGGGAAGGGAAGATAAGGATCAAGATATAAATGAAAATATTAAAGGCAAAAAAAAAGCAAGATTTTTTTTTGAAGGTAGGTATATAAAAGCAAATATAGAAATAAAATAAAATAAAAAGGAAACGCTTTAAAGACGGGGACGGGATAAGTAAGATGAGAAGAAGGAAGATGGGAGATAGGATAAATAATAGCCAGCGAGCTTTTTAATTGTGGTTTAATAAGAAGTGCGTTGTTTTCTTATTATTTTTCC